TCAAACTACCAAAATTTTTTTCCATCATTATTTCAGCAAAATTTCATCTTTATTTCACGATCCATTTATGATGATATAATAAGTCCTTATGGAACAAGACATGATTATTCTCCTGCTGAGAGAGTTTTTGTGATTTTGATGATGATGATGATGAAAAAATCTAATTTCATAAATCTTGAATGCATATTTTAATCTAAAATGTAAAAAATTTATTCAATTTTTTCGTTCATTTTGATTATAAACATCACATCATGATTGACTTATGGATAATAATTCAAAAAAAATGTCGTACATCTTGTGTGTGTGTGTGTGTGCGTGGGATTATGTATCCGAGATATTTTCATCTTGTCAATTGTTTCAAGGAAACAAAAAAAAATTGAATTATTTTTAGTCAAAAACTATAACACATGGGCCTGCAAGACGAATCAATCTTTCTTTTCATTGATATTTAGTCCATTTGAATGCAAAATGAGAATTTCATTTACATTTCAAATTAAAATTCAATGTAAATATAGTTACAATTTCTACAATTCACTGTAATTCTAGATCAATAGGCGATACATTTTTTCATTTTTTTTTTGCTATTCATTGAAAATGTTAATAATAAATTAAAATTCAATGTCAAATATTTACATCCTGTGTAACTTTGTCCAAAAAACAAAAAAAAAAAAAATATTTGGGCGGTTTCCATCAATACTAAAAAAAAAGTTTGTGAAAAATGCAATTATCATCACCATCAAATTGTGAATGCAAAAAAAAAATAAATAAATAATCGATGAATGGATTTCATCACTAGATGCACACACACTACCTGCTACTACTACTTCTGTTGATATACATCGTTAAGGTGCTTGGCCATTTGATGCTTGCTCTAAATTATCTGAAGAAAACAAAAAATTGTATTCATTTTGTCTATTACAATTGAATAGAAAAAAAATTCTTATAATGTATATCATTATCGTTTGATTGTTGATGTTTTTATTTATATTATATATGTGTATAACGAATTGAATCATTGAATTTTTTTTTTTTTGAAAAATCTAAATTTGTTAATCGTGTGTGTGTGTGAGTGTGTGTAAGCATTTGACCATTGATAATAAAATCACAAATCTAACATCCATCCATGGTCAATAACAAGAGCAACGAAAACAATTGTTTGTGAATGAACACAATCAACTATTGACGAATTAGCTACTGGGCATTTTATTTCTGTTTTTTTTTTTGTTTGTTCCAATTCGATCCAATTTGAGCCTTCAATTTTTCTTGTTGTTGTTGTTGTTGTTGTTGTTGTTGATGTATTGATTCGACATGAGAAAAATGAAAATATTCAGGATTCAATGCCATTCAATTGTTCAATTTTTGAATTATACATCTGTTTTTATTCTTTTCATTTCTATATATACATATCTGATGATGATTGAAATGAAAATTTTCAAAAGTGAACAAATGTTTTATTTATATTTATTTATTGCAAAATCTTTTTCTGAAAATTGTTTTATTAAATCATCTTTTTTTTTAATTCTTTGCCCATCATTTTTTGGTATAGGAAATGTATCAACAAATACAATACAGCAGCCATATTGCCAACAATAAGAATACCGAAAAATACAAATCTAAATCAAGAATATTGTAATATTGATAAATCAGAATCCAATGATATACATTGTGATCCTAATTATAAATATCGTTTAATGAATGGCCGATGTAACAATTTGGCATTCCCAAATTGGGGTTCATCATTTCATTGTCATCGACGATTATTGCCACCAGATTATTCTGATGGTATTAATCAACCACGTGTTTCAATTACTGGCGCACCATTACCAAGTCCACGTTTGATTACACAATTTTTACTACCAGATATTCTTGTACCGGATCCTAATCTATCCGGTATGAATATGGCATGGGGTCAATTCATGGTACATGATAATTTCCGTACAATACAAAATCTTGGTTTAGCAATCAATTGTTGTTTAATACCAAATGCAACCGTTCATCCTGAATGTGTTCCAATTACAAATTTTCCACAAGATGAAGCAACAGCTTCTTTTAATAATCAACAATGTATTAACACTGTAAGATCTATTGCCTGTAACACATGTAGTCTTGGTATGTATAAGTTATTTGAAAATTCATTCATTAATTAAATCATTTATTTTTTCATATAAAGGTCCACGTGATCAATTGAATGTGGCCACACAGGTATTGGATCTATCCAATCTCTATGGTGGTAATCTTATTGATGATTCGCTTACATTGAGAAAATTTCAAATGGGTAATGTTCATATATTAAATTGTCATTAGTTTTAGCTTAATTTTTTTTGTTTTGTTTGAATTCATTCAGGTCTTATGCGTGGCTCATTGGATTTGATGGGTAACGATACATTGCCTGTAAGACGATTGCCAAAAGAACAAGATACATTAGATCTTACACCATGTAATGAACCATTGAGTAATCCACAATTAACATGTTACCATACTGGTGATGGTATTCGTGGTAATCAACAACCGGGTATTAATTCTATTCACATTATGTTACGTCGTCGTCACAATATGCATGCCAAAGCATTAGCTATTGTTAATCCACATTGGGATGATGAAATTCTTTTCCAAGAAGCCAGGTACGATAATCATAATATAAGTGTTTAGATAACATTTAATTTTTAAAAATCTATTTCTTTCAGACGACTTTTGATTGCTGAAACACAAAAAATTCATTTTGGTGAATATATGCCATCGATTTTGGGTGAAAAATTGATGAAATATTTTGATTTGGAAATTCTACAGGATGGTTATAGTAAATATGATCCTACAATAGATCCATCCACCATACAATCAGTGGCTGTTGCAAGTCTTCGTATGGGTCATTCACAAGTATTCTCTGTATTCAATGTGATCAACAAACAAACACCATCATATTCATTTTTGTTGAGAAATAAATTCTTTGAAATGTCCGACATATGGGCTGGTAATGCAAACGGTATTCTACGAGGTCTTGTTGAAGAACCGGATAATACTGTCGATCAATTTGTTGTTAGTGATGTAAAAAATTTCCTTTTCTTCAATCCACGAAATCCATTGATTGTTGATTTACCAGCCATCAATACTAATCGTGGCCGTGAACATGGTGTTCCTGCATATGTTTATTTCCTTGAATATTGTACTGGCTATCAAATTAAGAGCTGGCAAGATTTAACTCGATTCATAACGGAACGTCGTATTAAAGAATTACAAGCTATATATGCGTAAGTTGAACATAAAAATAAGATTTTTTTTTTACTGATCAGAATTTTCATATAAATAGTGATTTCCGTGACATTGATCTTTTTATTGGCGGTCTTTCTGAAAACAAAGCATTTGGTTCGATTTTAGGACCAACATTTGGTTGTTTGAATGGTATTCAATTCCATCATTGGAAATTTGGTGATCGTTTTTATTTCGAACATGGTGGCGAAGCAGGCAGCTTCAATATTGGTATGTCGTGATTTCAACATTTTTTATTATTTTTTCATCAATGAAAAACAAATTTTCATAAACAATTTTTTTTTAAATCTAAATCAGATCAATTGAACAATATTCGACAAACATCATCATTGGCAAATTTAATGTGCAAAACAACCGATATACAAGCCGTACAAATGAATCCACAATTTCGTCCATCAGAAACGAATCCAAAAATACTTTGTGCCACAATGCCAGAAATTAATTATGAATTGTGGAGAGAATATGGTCCATGGAAAAAATAGTATCAATTATTCAATCAATCAATCAATGAAACCAATGCAATCAATTAATAAATTTACTCATCATCATCATTATCATCATTATCAGAATGTACCCTTAATACAAACAAAACAAAAAAGAAAAAAAAAGAAAAAAACAAACAAAACAAACATTAACATCCCTAAGCCATTAAACGCCTCGAATCTTGAATGAATAATTTTTTTTTGTTGTTTCCATTTTTGTTTCATTTCTTTGTCTTTATCTATTGTATTGTTTCGTTATATAATTCTTATTTCATTTCACATCATATTGTTGTTGTTGTTGTTGTTGTTTTGTTGTTGTCGTTGTTTTTTTTTTTCACTTTGTTCTGTTATTTTTCATGTAATAATTAATTTTATAAATTGAATTTCAACAACAACAACAACAACAACAACGAAAAAATGAAATATTTTAAATAAAAAAAAACCTCATAGTTATCCAACAATTAATAAATCTTTTTGTTTTGTTTTTCATTTTGAAAATCCAAAATTGTTGTATACGGTGAAATTCGAAATCAACAATGCTGCCATCTATGATTTGATAATGCAACAATAACTCCTTATAACAACAACAACAAAAAAAATAGAAGCAATGCAATGAAAAACGAAAGAAAAACTCAACAACAACAACAACAAAAATAACTAAGAAAAATAGTAGTAGTAGTAGTAATCTTAATGATGATGATGATGATTGCTCTATACAAGGTAGTAGCATTGTGGAAAGAGAACAACAATTTTTTTTTATGCGTATATATATACAACGAAGTCAGCCAACAACAACAACAAAAAAAAAATCGATCAAACAACCAACAAGACCAGACCAAAAACTATTCGCCACGACATATGCACATTGAGTCGTCGCAAATATATTACAATTCACTCTATATATTTTTTTTTTGATGTTTTGGGATGTGCTTTTAATATATATTTTTTTTGTTGTTTTTGTTGTTGTTGTTGCTGATGCTGATGTTATGTGGGAGCCATAGGCTCGATAGACCCTAATGTGTCTCAATGTGTATGATTTTTTTTTTTAGCATGTTTCAATGTTGTATCAACATAAACACACATACACACAAACATACATACAACAATAACAAAAGAATTTTTATCGAATTTTTTTTTCCAATCGAATGCATTTCTTGTGTTTTTTCTTTTCATTTTTGTTTGTTTGTTAAATTCATCATCATTTCGGGGCAAAAAAAAAATCGATTTGAATGATTAGAATTGATTGATTTGTGTGCAAATTATTATCATCATTATTATTATAATATATCATCATTATCATTGTGATTGTGAATTTCCCGCTTTTTATTTCGTCATTATTATATATTTAAAAAATATATATATATTTTGAACTTTGAATTGAATATAGATCGATAACCAGCTTATGTTCGTAAAAACATCCTGTAATGAAGAGAAGAAATGTTGAATCAGGCAATACGGCGGGCAAATTGAGACGTGCTGCTAAACGCAGCAAATTGAATGATGGCTACAGGTAACAAATCGAATTATAAAGAATGATGATGATGATGATGATTTTTTTTTTGAATAAATGTTTCATTTTCTATCATCTAATATAGCCCATTGAATGTAATCATCAATTTTAAATTTCTATTCATCTGGTTATTGGTGATCATATTAGATTTTATATCTGAATTTCGTTTCGAATTACTTTATCCATTATGGGCATTCTTTTCAAACTCAAGTGAGACATTTAGATATAAAGGCATGGTAAGTGATGAATTGATAATAAATGAATGAATATTGATGAATTGGTCCTCTGTTTATTTGTCTGATTGTATGTTGCCATTGACTAATCCAACGAAAAAAAATAATGAATCCAATATGAATATCCATGCACCCATCAACCAAAATTCAAAATAGTCATATCTATTTTCCTATGTATTCATAACGATTACGATCGATATGTGTTGCTATTATATAATGCCATTACAATGGCTATTTTTTGCTTCAAGCACATATGTATGGCTACAATTTACATGCTGGTATTCGGAACGTGGCCTAACATTGTTCACTATAATCATTTGGTTTACATTGATCATGATTGAAACATTCGTAAGGTTAAAAGAAATGAAAAATGTGCCATTTCAATTTGAGATTTGTCGTCCATTCGCCGCACATGGGTAAATGATGAATATTTTCATTTTATTTTATTATATTAATTATATCCCTTATAAAAAAAACTTATCTTTCATTGTCTTGTTTTTTATTTGTTCCTAGTGTTGGCTATCCAATACTGACATTCGGTATCGAATGTAAATCCTACGTACATTATCGTCTACGTTTACATAAGAAACGTATCGTTGCCAAAGAGAATGATTTCTATTATTCACTATTGAAGCAGGCAATCGAACCCCCACCATCAATATCGCCACAAACGACGACAACTCCCTATAATATTGATGCAACTCTTCAAACGACCACGATCAACACCACCGATTCAATGACGCCGATCATTGCCTCAACATTAAGTCATAATCATGATCAAGAACAACAATCAAATGTGAACAGAGCAATGCAAATGTCGATACAAAACGGTATCCATGATGGCGGTGGAACCAACATTTCGACATCATCTTTATTACGAACGATGATAATGGCGAATAATTCGATCTCATTTGCTCATACAAACAACGGGAGCAGCATTAATAATAAACCATCATTAGCGACTAATCGTCGAAACAATAGTAATGGTAATGAACCATATCGACTCTTTTATCGTAGATGTCTACAACAATCAAAATCTTTGGCCAACAATATCAATGGCTTATTCCTGATGATTGGAAGGCAATTATTGCATGCGATTAGCCGTATATTGCATTTCTATCGAATGGCTATCCTATACATCCTATGTTCATTATCACCACAAGTATTATATAAACGATTTTCGATGATCTTTAAACATCAATCATCAATGGCTAATCATAATAAAATCAAGATGATGAAATCATCAGATTGTGCCATTGCCAACGGTAATCATCATCATTTATCTATGAATGGATCTAAAGATGTTCTTAAACGATCGATCGTTACAAGTGATCAGGATAAATCAATCAAGAATCATCATATGCATAATTCTCGTTCAAAATCTCCTGAATCAAAAAGTGATGATTCGAATGATGACAATTCTAATGGATCCTTGAATGAGTCGGCTAAGATTCAGACATGTAGTGATCAATCGCAACCGATATCAAATGGACGACTAAATGAATTCAATCCAGACCTTGCTGATAGTATGTCCATTTCGTTGAAACGTATGAATGTGGATTCACCAAGTGATTCAAATCTGTTAAAATCAACGTCCAAAGATTCAAATAAGATACAGGTAATGAATGGAAAACGAAGTAAATCAAATAGTCATCATCATCGAAATAGTGGACCTGTAATTGGCGACAATACGAATGCAGCAGCAATGTCCGCAGTAGATTCTAATCTAAGTCAAACACTGGAATTAATCAAAGCAAAAGATGATCATATATGGAAAATGGAACAGGATAATCTTCGATTAAAATCTGATCTACAAACAATACGTCAATGTGAATCCGACCTAAGAAAACAGATGGAAACATTTTGTAATGAAGAGAAAATTTTTCGAAATTCTATTACAAACTATCAGCAAGATATTGAACATTTACAGAAAAAACTACAAAATTATCATCAAACTAAACAACAGGATAGACAAACCATACAAAAATTGGAAAAACAATTGGATGAGGAGAAACGACGATCAAAACAATCAATTGAAATTCAGGCAGCTTCGGAAAAGAAAGCCAAACAAGCAGAGGAAAATGCAGCACGACAAATAGCAATGGCTACAGCTGTTGCCGCTAATACACGTTCATCAACTATGGGTTGTTCGGATAATTGTCGTAATAGGCAACGGGATTTCGAAATAGAATTGGCCAATCTACGAAAGGAATTATTGTCGAAAGATGAACAACTTAGAATGAAGAAATTGGTAAGATTTTTTTCATTTCATTTGATTATAAATTGGAATCATTTTATTTGTTTTTTATTTTCGTAAACAGTTGCTCGATAAATACAAGAACAATGAGGATATTTTATCATCAACATTGATCATCATACAGGAACAAAATGCCCAGTTAGAAGCATCATTGAAATTGGAAAAAGTCATACGCGCCGAAATATTTTCGACACTTGAAGAGGCTAAACGTCAGATACATAAACAACAATGTAAGCGTTTCGGTATCACAATTCATTTGATTTGTTGCTAATTCTGTAAATCTTTGATCATTTTAATAATATAGTGATGTGTATAGATTACGAAAAAGAAAACCATGACTTGAAGACTAAATTGTTTCTCAACTCATCCAAATTGACATCATTGTCATCTTTTACTGGTAATAGTAATGGAGCTAGTATTGGTCTCAATCCATTGAACGGTTTTCATTCATCATCTTCATCATCATCATCACCATCGACAACAGCGACAACAACAAGCGATTTGGAACTAGTAAATCGATGTTTTTCCAGTTGTTCACCCAATTCAATATCAGCCCCACAGGCACTAGCAGCAACAGCATCCGGTTCAACAGTTACGCCACCATTGAATCATTCGCAAATATCTTCACCATTATGCGGTAATATATCACCATCCGGTTCGAATAATAAAAATGGTAGTAATCATTATAACCGATTACATCGGATAACATCACCACCGTTACCAACGCACAATCTACATGATGCATTTGCTGTATCATCGTCAACATTGGACAATTGCTGGCCAACGCATCATTCATCGCCGTCTCCTCATCTTTCTTCAAATAGTACAACAACGGTGTCAACTTCAAGCCATATGATGACTGTATCGAATTCGAATACTAGTACGGATGCTGATGATTTAGGCAGCACAGCTAATTTACCATTCAATAGTTTTGATTTCTGAATGAAATAAAATGACTGATTGATTGTTGGCCCCCTTAACACACACACACATCCATTTTTATCAGGTCGAATAAAAATTCGAAATGATTTTTTTGTCCAAATTTTAGTAACTAATTCAAAAAAAACCTGCTGGTTTGGGAAGCAAATGAAAATAAGTAAAAGGTATTACACTTTGAGTTTGTGGACTAACTTCAGGATCAAAAGCTATTGGTATCCAAACTGAATGAGGACAACCAATTCTCAATCGTGAGGGTTCCATCATCCGATCAATTAGCAATTGATCAAGCCATTAGGTCATGTCAAAATTGATGAATTATTTATGTCACGCATTCTTAACCGTAAGATGTGTGTTATTTTAAGTGGCTAAGCATACGTACTATATGAATCTATTTCAATGTATCATATAAATATACCGTGCTTTTTAAATAAACGATCATTGCATTATTCTACATTGTTTCTGTATACAGTACAACCAGCAACACATGTGATTTGCATTCATTCGATTTTTTTTGTTTGTTTGTTTTGTTGATGGATCAAATTCTTTGTTTAGAATAATAATAATCAAAACATGTTCGTCCGACTGATTTCATTCTTACAACGATCAATGACAATTAAATGTCCGCCATCATCATGTGTGGCTATGATTGTAAGAAATATTTCTGACAATCAGGATGGATCGAAAAAACGAGCCCTCAAATTGAAACAAACAACCATGAATCATTCGTTTCCATCAGAATCTGATCTTAATCGATTCACAACTCGTACATTTAATTGTGGCCAACTAAATGACCGGCTAATTGGAAAACAAGTTCAACTATGTGGTTGGCTTGAATATCGACGAATGAATCGTTTCATTGTTCTACGCGATAGCTATGGACAAATACAATTATTCATAAAACGAAAACAGGATCAAGATATTGTCGCCGAATGTAATTTGGAATCAGTCATACAAATTACCGGTACGGTCGCTGCTCGACCGGAAAAAGATATCAACGTAAACATGACGAATGGTGATATTGAAATTCTAGTCGATCATCTTGAATTATTGAACAATTCAAAAGCAAACATGCCCTTTTTGCCACTTCGTGATTCAATCATGTCAACCACCGAAAACGTTCGACTTCAATATCGTTATATTGATCTACGACGAGCACAAATGATCAATATTCTGAGGCTACGATCAAAGATGATAATGGCAATGCGAAGTCATTTAGTCGAACGATTTGGATTCATTGAAGTGGAAACTCCAACATTGTTCAAGGATACACCTGGTGGAGCGCAAGAATTTGTTGTGCCAACACGATTCAAAGACCAATTCTATAGTCTAGTTCAAAGTCCACAACAATTCAAACAATTACTTATGGTAGGCGGTATTGATCGATATTTTCAGATAGCACGATGTTATCGTGATGAAGGAACTAAATCTGATCGACAACCCGAATTCACACAGCTTGATCTGGAAATGTCATTCACGACTGTTGATGGTGTGATGGAATTGATTGAAGATCTAATCCAGAATTGTTGGCCGATTCCAATCGAAAAAGACAAAATTTATCGTTCATTTGAACGAATTCGTTATGAGGATGCAATAAATAAATATGGTTGTGATAAGCCAGATCTTAGAGCTCCAGAGATAATGATCAAAAGAATGAAATGTCGTCCCGATTGGTTCATGTTGGTCATTCCACAAGATTATGATTCAGATTTTGTTATTAAAAATTTCATTCAGAATGATCTCAGTCCTTTCCTTAATACGATGAATTTTAAAGGTCGATTAAATCATTTCAAATATTCATCGCTACCATTTCAAGCACAGGATCTTGATGATGATATCTGTGAAGAAATACGAAATGAACAAAATGCATTTAAAGCCAATGATTTTATCTGGATCGCTTCTAGTAGTGATCCATTGAATTGTGTAAGTATCAGTTGTTGTTTATGTTTTTCATATTTATTAACAAAATTAATTAATGTTTATATTTTTAAAGCTTGACATTCTGGGTCGAATTCGTGCCTCTTGCATTGATATGATTGAAGATAACCGTCTGGCTAAACTTGGCGATGATTCTGATGGCCAACGTAAATTATCATTCTGTTGGGTATACGATTTTCCATTGTTCGCCATGAATCAACAAACTGGTCGATTGGAGCCAGAACATCATCCATTTACCGCACCAAAACCTGATGACCAGTCATTGATATATACGGATCCAGCCAAATGTACAGGACAATCATTTGATCTAGTTATAAATGGTCGTGAAATTGGTGGCGGTTCCATACGTATTCATTCTGCTGAATTACAAAGCTACGTATTAAATGATTTACTCAAATGCCGATCCAAATCGATGGATTATTTTCTGGAAGCATTACAATGTGGCTGTCCACCGCATGGTGGTTTTGCCATCGGCATTGATCGTCTAATTGCTTTGATTTGTCAACAGCCATCATTACGTGATGTGATTGCCTTTCCTAAAGCCGCACAAGGTAAAGATCTTATGTCTGGTAGTCCTGGGCCAATAAGTGTCGAAACCAAACAATTATATCAATTAATACCATCGGATTGATCAAATTGATTTTACTTTTTTTTGTTATGTATCGACATTTGTAATTAAATAATTGATTTTTAAAAACTGGATAAAAATCATCAATGAATTTATTTTTTTATCCAAAAAAAAGAAAGAAAACAATATAGTTAGTTTACAATGTAATGTGATGATCATAGATGGCACCTCATGACTATGATAATACTTGGCTTTACATTGTTATCAAAAAAAAAAAAAAAATTATCCATAGATAATGACAAAGGTAGTTGTTGATAAAGAAAAATAAGAACGGAAATGATCAAAGTAAAATGAAATGAAATTCCTCATGAACAATAAGGTGGGAAGGAAATTTAAATGAAACAATCAAACAAGAAAATTGGCTAAACTACTTGACAATAGCTTAGATTCTGATGTGGCAGGAGCGGTTTGCTCATTCGACGATAATGATGTTTGTTGACTATGAATAATGGGCGTCGTCGTGACAGTTGACATAGTTGGATGTGATGGTGAAGATTGTTGTTTTCCACTCATATCCGAAGTGGTTGTTATAGGCATGCCATAAGGCTCAATTGTGTTATTATGATTAGGTGTGATTGGAAATTTTGGACATCTAACTATTTGCTGATACAATGTATCACAGGATACGATTGGACTATCGATCCTCCCCATTGGAGATGATGTTGATTGTACCAAATTCGATCCAGTGGCCATTAATTCAGCCGACAAAAGTGGTGGTGGAGGCGGTGGTATTAGATCGATGGTTGAGATTTGATTTAGTTGATCATTCTCGAATGATATCGTTGTGCCACGATAATTCGGGCTAGAAATAACGGTAGTTGCTGTGGTGATCGGTGGTCGTGAGGATGAAGATGGCATTTCCATTACCATCATCGACATCGGTGTGGGTGTCTGCACAGCGCTATCACGTAGGATACTTTTAGGCGATGTGGTACTGGTGGCTGTTGTTGTATTAGGCGATACTGATAATGATGTTCGCGTGGTCGTACCCGAATAACGAACAGTTGGATTAGATGGCTTATGGTGATGATGATGATGTCTAGGTCTACCAAGTGTCGAAATCATTGGTTTCGTACTGGTCGTTTGATGATGATGATGAAGATGATACGAAGGATGATGATGACTATAACCAGCTATGGTTGATGATTGACCACCTGATGCTGCTATATGACCTGATTGTGGTCGCCGAATGGTACTGTAACCAGGAGCTGAAGTTGATGCAACACTAGAGGAAGTAGTAGTGATAATGGAAGTGGTGGCACTACCAATCACACCTGTCATTGATTGACGTTTCGATTGGCCATAATCACAGCGACCAACCGATGCTGCTTGCATTGATGATGGTCGTCGGTTATCAATCAGTATATGTTGTATTTCTTCATGATCACCTGATACAGCGGTTTGTTGATTTCGGTCACCACCACCACCACCATTGTCATCATCTTCCTCTTCTTCCTCATCTTCAAGATCATCTTCAAAGTCAAATTGAGGCACAAATTTTCTTTGTTGTTGATGTTCTTGGCGAACTTTTTTAACGGCCACACCTTTCTGATAGTATAATCGTGCAGATAGTACAGCCAAAAAACAGACCAAAGATCCAAATAATGAGACCAGCAGGTATAATACAAATAACTCTTGATTTCCTACAGATGAAAAAGATTCGAATTAATTCTCATCAAAAAAAAAAATCTTAAATAAACAAACTTTTAACAAAACCAATGGCTGATATCCAATCAGATATAAATCCAACCACTTGCATTTGTGCAGTCAATTCGGTACAATTAATAGATGAATGATGATGTTGTTGATTCGGATTATCCATCAACACCTGACTAACACTATCACGAGATGAACTGCCAGAATTATGATGTGGTAATCGTGTACGCCAAGAAGATTTAACCGTTTTCATTACAGATGCCGAATCCATCATCAATCTTGTGTTCGAAGATAATGTCCTATTTTTGTTGCTGACCGGCGAAACTGATGGTAAATTATCATCATCATCACCACCATAATTGATAGTCATATCCAAAGTGTTTGTTTTATATTTCATTTTCTTTTTATTCGATGCAAACGTTTGTTGTTGTTGTTGGCGACCATCACCGCCATCATCGTAATCATCATTATCATTGATACTTTCATTGTTGTCATCATCATCAATCATATTCGTAGATGAAATAATCGGCCTCACTGTTTTTGTTGTTGTTGTCATTGTTGTCATAGTCGTTGTTGTCGTCGTCGTCGTCGTTGTCGATGATGATATTGACGTTGGTGTTGACGTCGATGTTGTTATTGATTCGATACGATGATCATTATGGAACATATGTTTCGATATACAAGTATAGACAATTTTGAGATAATATTTCACCAATATTGGACAGGTTGGCAAGGCAAATGTTCGATTCGAGAATGATGATGATGATGATGACGACAATGTTGTGATGTGATTATTATCATAAGTGGCCATTATTGTACAATTACGACGTCCTTGACATATTCGTTGAACAATATCCGGAGCATATCGATCCTGACATAATGTTTCGATATTTGTTTGATTTGGAAATCTATTTGTAGTAGCAGCTGGTCCTAGCTGATTGATAGCACTACCCGGACATTCGTGAACACCTTTCCAACTAGCACCAAACATTGCTGAAAATATTACAATTCTATCATCTTGATCATTGTTTTCATTACATTGTAACTTCAAGGATCGTCCTTCACAAGCAATCTTATTGATGAATTGATCTTTAAAAAAAAAAATGGAATAGATACTTTTAATAAAATATCAATAAAATGTCAATCAATGCTTACTTGGTCGACATCTGTAAACAACTTCTGCGAATTTAATCACGTTACCACATGGATCATATTTGAAACCTAAATTGGTTGCATTTACCTGTAAAACGCATCGATGCTGCTCACGACATGTTTCTTCAATTTTGAGCAAAAATTTATACTACATTCCAGAATTTTTAATAATATATAAAAAGTTATTCGAAATATTACAAACAATATTGAAAACAAAAAGGAAATTTACCCATAAATGTTTGGCTTCTGAACATCGAACCGGCGAAGAAGATGACAATGATGATGATGATGATGCATCGTTGGATATTGTTGATTTTTCCGAAATGTGATCTAATGGCCATTGTTCCATTGTTGTTGTTGTTGTTGTTATTGATGGCGATGATCGTCTATAACACATATGTCGTTGTGGCACTGGCTGTCCATAATTGGCAACAACAATATTGACTACAGTACGTGAATCACATTCTAGATGTAATTCTTCATTGTCACATGCCGATACTTGATATGTACGTAATGTGCCGGCAAGTAATGCTGAAAATAAACATTACAAAAAAAAAAATTTGCTCAATCAATCAAATTAATTAAAAGATGATTGATCAATAGCTTTAATACTTACGTAAATTATTATTTTTATTATTATTATTGATGGGCAATGAAATTGATTGAACCAAAAACAACGATGATAGAATCCATATTATGAATAATAATATTGAATAATTTAACAAAGATAATATATTCATTTTCTGTTGCTGTTGTTGTTGTTGTTGTTGTTTATTATTTGGCACATTCGTCAATGATATTCGTTTATTATGGCTTTTATTATAATCATTAGGAAATTGGCTTATCGATATCGATATTGATGATGATGTTGATGATTGTAATTGTCGTCTGTGTATTTGTTGTTGTTGTTGTTGTTGTTGTTCATGTAAACATTGAATCACATCCATTGATGGAAGATCATTATTATAATTATCATCATTATCATTATTCATCATTACAAATAGATTTTTAGGCAGCCACATTATTATTTCATTTGTTGACTAGAGTTAAAATTGAATAATTATTTTTCTTTTTTTTTGATTTTGATGACCAGATATATATAATATAAAAACAAGGCAGTCAAGAATATATAGTTTCCAAAATAATGAGATCGATTATCAAGAATTTCATCTCCTTAATGAATCTGTAAAACAAAGAGAAAAATTAAACAATTTATGAATGCCAGAATTTTTATTCACCAGATCAAAAAAAAAAAAAAAATGATAAAAACATGCTACACACGTTTAGCTAAATATAGAAATGAAAATTGTTAATATTCATTGGTCAATTTGACATATTTTAACCAGAAATATAGTGGAAAAAAAAACGCAAATTCATGGATTACTGATGATTACTGCAACAAAAAACTAGAGAGAGAGAGAGAGAGAGAGAGAACATATGGCCGAATTGTCGACTGGCTAACTGAAACACAAATATATATGTTATTAGTTTATCTATTCGGTTGTTTTCATTTTCTTTAGGTTTAAAAAGAGAGTGAAAAATTGAATTTTCACAAACAAAATGTGAAAATATAAACTAAAAACAGAAAAAAAACTTAAGATCTCACAAGAACAAGAAGAAAATATTTAAAAAAAAAAATACAAAACTAAAAAAAGTGTTTCATGCTAAACCTCCTGCTGAAAAGCTACTGTGGTTAGCTTGAAGCATTTTTTTTCCCTATGGTTTTTCATCATCAACAATACCAGACAATCCACATCCATCTGGGTTTCCATTCTTGGTAAAATCATCTTGTGATGTTCATTTGATTTATATATATTTATTAATACACACCACACACAGACAAATAAAAACACACTCACACATACATACAGATGTTTGAGTGTTTTTATTTTATTTTATTTACATCTATTTTCTGATTACCATGATGTGATATGTGCATTGATTGTTATTGTTATCCATTTTTTTTTTCACTCTTGATTTGGTAAACATTAAAAACCAAGCAAATGAATTTAAGAGATTCACAAGAAAACAAAACAAAAAAAAAAAACTTTTCGATTCTCAATATATTCGATATTTTTATTTAAAAAATGAGAGAGAGAAATTCTCATTATTTATATTTGTATTCAGTGTGTTATGTTTACAATTGACTTAATCTATTCACAATTTACATCCATTCTGTGTATAATGTCGATATAGACATCTTAGAAAACAAAAAAACAAAAGTAGTAGCCAGTCAAGTCAATCAATTTGATGTAGTGAAATTTTTCTTGTTGTTTATATAATAATAAATAAATAAATAGTTGAGGGTTGAATTTGTTATTTTTTTCAGTTCATTAAATCTGTTTGTCTGGATTAGTTTTTTGTTTTGTTCTGTTTTGTTTATTTGTTCGTATTTCACCTCCCTCTGGAGGAAACTTGTTGCTTTTGAAATGGAAAAGAAAAAATTAACTGTTTCGAACAAAAAAAAGTTAACGGATCAAACCATCTGTGTGTGTTTTGAACAGTTCACAATGTTTGAATTTTTATTTTTTTGTACATGAAATTCATTTGTGACATGTGCATATGTGACATGCATATATTCAATTAATCCAACCAACTTCAACTGACTACACACTATAGTTCTGTACAGAATGATTTTGGTTACAAAAAAAAAAAAAAAATTTGTCCAGAGACCAAAAAAAAAAATTGAATATATTTGAATCAAGTAACAACAATAACAAAATTGTTATTTTCTTTCATCAAACAAAAAACAAAACATTCATTTATCAGAGTTGATTATCTTATTTTTGTTACCTGTACAAGAAAAAAATAAACAGCCAAATTATTGTTGTTTAGTTTCTGGTTTTTTTTTTGCTCAAGGTTTCATTCATTCATTTAGTGTATCCACACTAGATAAAATTAACCAATCACCAGATATCTTGAATAAATGAATTTAATTTGATTATTGTCAAATTCTCGCACCAAGACATACTTATTGATTCTAGGCCATGATTGGCCAAATTTTATTTGGTTGCCAGGCAAAAGAAAAAAAAACAACAACCTGAATTACAATTTGGCCATCTTTATTCAGAGAAAATTCTGTTTGTTCTGAACAGAAAAAAAAGAAACACACCAGACACCTTTCACTGTTTTATCATCGTAAGAATTTTATTTTAATGAAAGAAAAAAAATTTTTGTGTGGTTATAATCCAACAATAAAAATACAGAATACAGAATTCGAATATTGTTGTAAGCAGCAAAAAAAAAGAAAAAAAATTCTAGTGAAATTCGGTTTTTTTTCTCTCCATGATTATTGAAATGAATGGCAAACATTTTTTTACGATCAAAATAATTTGCTTTTGATGTTGTTGTCGGTTAATTAGCCTTCATCATCATCATCATGCAAATCATTAATTAATTAAGTTTTTTTCGGGTGTCACAAAAAAAATACAAATACAAATATAAATTAATTGACAAAAACGTCCCAAATGTTGTTTGAACATTCATTGACATTCATTCAGTGTGAATTAATTTCACATTTAACAACATCAAAAGTCGATTTTTCGCCATCATTATGCGGTGTAAAATGACAACAACAACAACAACAAAAACAAACACGAATATATATCTTTCCAATGTTAATGTTAATGTTAATTATTATTATCATTATAAATTCAGGCCAACATTAATTAATCATTCAATCAATCAATCGATCGATAAATTGATCATTATGAAATGTGGCTATAATGTATATTGATTATAAATAATGTCAGCATGTTTTATTTATATATGATGAGATAAACTAAAATACATGTCATTTATGAACGAGATCATGGCGATGATCAACTCCTACGTATTGATGCATGCATTGCAATAATAAACTGCCTACATTTTTTTTTTTTTTTAATTTCAAACTTTTTACTTTTGATATTTATTATTCAATGGAAATTGTGCTTTTGAAATGAATTTGAATTAGACAAAAAAAATGATGATGCTAAAGATGATGATGATGATGATGATGATAATGTTATGTGAAATGAATCACTATCAGATTGGCATTTATTTTTTTTTCTTCATCTTTTTCTATATGGATTTTAAATTCAATTCCGTTTCGTTTCGTGCATGCACACAAACATGTCTGGCAACATGAAAAATGACCATATAAATAAAAAATCATTTAGTTTCAGTTAGTTTGTATCAAAACGAAAAACGAAAAAAAAAAAACATTTTTCCCGTTGCGAATTTTTTCTTGTTATATTATCGATTTAAAACATAAGATTAACAAAAACAGAAAAACAAAAAACGACAACAGAACAGGAAAACATCTAATCCAATCCTGTATGTCTAATCCAATTCAATTAATTGATTGAATGAATGAATGAATGAATAAATGAATTTTTTTATATTGGAAAATTTGAAGAAATGATTTTTTGCTGCTAATGATGATTATGATAATATTGATGGGTGATTAAATTTTGATCATTCCAAATATGAAGTTATAAATGATAGTTTTCTCTCTTTATCTAATGATAAAGAATCATTAATTCCAACATCTCAATTGTAAGCTAAGCAAAAAAAAAAAATATGAATTACGAATCATTTTGAATGACCACAACCAAAATAATTGAATAGATGGGGATTTTGATGTTAAATATAAATCAGATTTCGTTGTTTTTTTTAGTTTTATTTCGATCACAATTCTCCATCATCATCATCATCATCAACAACAACAACAAGGTTAAAAATCATCGTTCAATGAATAAATCATTTGGCTGATTTGTTATGGATTCATGGATTGGATATGTTATGACTACTGATGATGATGTGATATGATTTATTATATGGCTGTTGTTGTTTTTTTTTTTTGTTGGAAATTTTTTTTTCTTCCATTTTCAAGTTGTATGTGAAGAAATAAAAACAAAACAAAACAAGTATAATATGACAAATGACATTCACACTATGGTGGTCGATGCTACTGGTATTTTTTTTTTTTTTTTTTTTTTTTTTATTTTTATTTCTATTTGATACATGTTTATCGATTGATTGTAATATATCGATTGGGCAAATCCATTTGCATTGCTGTTGTCGTTGTTGTTGTTATTGTTATCATGATCATTATAAATTAAGGTCACCTGGGTCATAAATTTCTTTTTCTTTTGCGTTTTTACTTTTCCATGTTGTATTTTTGTTTGTGTTACTCATATGTCATTTAGAATCATCGATCGATTCATGTATGATCAACGATGTTTGATGATGAAGAGCTTGAAAATGAAAAAAAAAATTTCAATCATATAAAAAACAACAACAACGACAACACTGCACATTTGTTATTTGTTTGGATTTGTTTGATTTTTGTTTTTTTTGCGCCTGCAAAATTATGATTGATTGATAGCACAAATGAGACAATGAGCTACATTGAAAAAAATCCTAGCGGGAAAAAAGTGCAAACTTTGTACAGCAACAGTAAGGCAGGGGATGGAAAAGTGTCCGTAAAATGCGTGGCTTACATAGACTTTTTTCCCCATTTTTTTCGGGGTAGAATTTTTATTGTTTGCTATGTGTGTGTGCAGCAGCCACTAAGCCACAATAAGCAGATTGCAATTGATCAACAAAACAATATAATTACTATATATATATAAATTTGCACATCAAATGTCAGTCAAGTGATTGGCAATAATCAACCAATAAATAAAAATAAAAATAATAAAAAAAACACTATGGTGTTATTCATCATTTTCATCATCACTACTACCGATATCCGACCATTCCATGAATTTTTTTTGTTTTTCATCTAAATTCCAATTCATTTTGATGTTTTTATTCTTCATCATCATCATCATCATCATTATCATCAATATTCGAACAGTGTATATATATATCTGTGCTTTAATCTTGGTTCATCATCAACAAAAGAAAACAAAAAATTTGCTGCATTAAACGTGACAGAAATTTGACATTTAAACAAGTAAATGAATTGAATTGAATGAAGAGAGAGAGAAAACACACACACACACACACACGAAATTATTTTATATATAACAGT